AAAAACCTTAAATTAAAAAAAAAAAAAAAAGAGTTACTCTAAAAAAAGAAATAGGGCTAAAGGCAGGTAGTAATAAAAAATAAAACTGGAAGCAGAACCAAAAAGAGACACAAAACAAAACAATTTCATTTTTGATATTGATGACATACACAGCATGTTGCTGTTAAGTGCCGTTGAGTCAATTCCGACCCATACCGACTCTGTATAGGGTTTGCAAGGAGCAGCTGGTGAGCTTGAATCACCGACCTTGCAGTTCAAACAACTTTGCAGTCTGACGCATTAGCCCACAGTGCCACACCAGAACTCCATACACAGCATGTTGTTGTTAGGTGCTGTGTGGAGTCGGTTGCAACTCATAGAGACCCTGTATAGGGTTTCCAAGGAGCAGCTGGTAAGCTTGAATCGCTGACGTCGCAGTTCAAATGGCTTTGCAGTCTGGCACATTAGCCCACAGCGCTACACCAGGACTCCATACACAGCACAACATACTCCAATTGAACAGTTTTTACATGTAGAATTCAGAGACACTGAACACATTCTTCACTTTGTGCAACCATCCTCCTCCTCCTTTTCTAAGTTGTTCCTTCCTCACAGACTCACTAATCCATGAGGTTCTTACCTCATCTTTCAAGTTGCTGTTGTCAACTGGATCCTATGTTGATACAGAAACCTGTGAGAGCTGGAACTCAATGGGCCTGCCTAGTTTTTCTAGAACTCTCAAGTTTCCACCTTTGCCAGGGTGCAGTCCTGCCACTTCTCTATTGCTCATTTCAGTGAAAAATGTCTGTGTTTTCCTTCTCTGAGAGGTTTCCACCCCATACACAGGTTCTGGCTTTTGCAGGTTTTACTGCAGTTGCATGATGCTCAAGTGCTTTTGTGTGGACCAATGATGGGAATATGTTTTGAATTTAGGAGTATGGTGTGTGTATGTATGTGTGTGTGTGTATGAGCGAGAGAGAGAGAGAGAGAGAGAAGCCACTTACCTGGGTATAAAAAAGTCTCAATTTTATGCTTCAGAGAAGTGGGGTTAATATGTACTCATTACCAAAAAACCTGGTTTCAAAGTACAATAGGATTAAAGTGAATGCAGATACAACCTAGAGAAGAGGCTGTCACATGTGCTTTATCATCCCATTTGGAATATAAGCAAGCATAACTATAGCTCAAAAGATGCTTGTTTGGAAAAATCTGACCAGGAGTGTGCTAAAAAAAATAATCCTTAATAAACTGCCTCTAGGAAAATTAAATATTTAACCCTGTTAGTAATAAGATTACCAATTAAATTACCAAAATAACTGGACTTTCACCTTCTCCAGTCCTCCTTTTTTACAAATTAATCTATAGGTCAGCGACCTGGACTCCCTCGCTTGCAACGTGGGACAAGGTGTTGGGGTAGAGTGAGTGGGTCTGATGCCCCTGTGGCTCCAGAGGTGGGCCCTGACTGGTCTAATCCCTCTCAGTACATACTAATAGAAGTCCTGGTATGGCACTGTATGAGGATAGCACTGATAACCGCAAGGTCAGTGGTTCAAACCCGCCAGTCACTCTTTGGAAACCCTAGACAGGGTTACTATGAGTTGAAACGGATTGGATGGCACTTAACAACCACCAGCATAGCAATATGGGACGTTGGGGGTGCAGTGGGTTACATGTTAAGCTGCTAACCACAATGTCAGCAGTTTGACTCCACCAGTCACTCCATAGGAGAAAGATGAGGCTTTCTGATACCATAAAGATTTACAGCCTTGGAAACCCATATACAGGGTCATTATGACTTGGAACAGACTTGATGGCACTTAAAAACAACAACTATAGCAATTGGTTCAAATAACCCAGGGCCAATCCAATCTGAACCTGGCAATCTTCTGATCAAAGGAATTGGTTTAGGTTTGGACATGGGACCCAGTTTGATCAAGGAAACATGAGGAGGTATGCCACAGACATCTGGGGAACACAATTTCTCACTCTCCTGAAAAAGTTACCAGAAGCATTTGGAACTTAAGCTTGAAACTACAGCAGCCATTTTGCCACTATTAGAGTAGCCTAGCTTGGGAGGAAGCTAATGCTGCTGAAAGCAGAACAGCAAAATTCAAAGAAATGGAATTCCTGATAATATTGGTGAACCGTTTAATCAAACTAATCTTTAAACCTGCCCTACTCCTGATCCTTCTGGTTACCTGAACCAAAAGATGCCCTTTCTTTATTGCTACCCTTTTATAGTTTCCTGTTACTTACAAAAGGCCCCTTGGTGGCATAGTGGTTAAGTGCTTGACTGCTAACTGAAACGTCAGCTATTCAAACCTAGCAGCTGTCGTAAGGGAGAAAGATGTAGCAGTCTGCTCTGTAAAGATTAACCCCCAAAACCTACAACTGTTAAACTTTACAGGAGCAGAAAGACTCCTTTTTAACCCATGCAGTACCTAGTGGATTTAAACTACTCTCTGGGGTAGTTCTACTCTGTCCTATAGAGTTGTTACGAGTTGGAATTGACTCAAGGATAATGGATTGGATTTATTACTTACAAAGGAGTAATAACTGATGTAACCTTCAAATGAATGCATGAGGTTGCTAGGATACGAACATTAGTGTGAGCCTTCCTTCTAAAGATAGAGAAAAGGAAGCTAAAGAAGAAACAGAACTAACATGTAGTGAGCACATAAATACCAGAATCTACTGGGGGGTGTAGTAAAGCGCTTTTTATCTTATTAACTCAACAGTAATGACATTGTCCTATATTGACAGAAATTCAACTATCAGATCTGTAACTTGGCTGGAAGAATTCATGATTGCTTCCAATCTAGATATTTTACAATTGTATAAACTAAAGAAAATATTCCAACAATGAACCATATACAAAAAGAAATATTTTTTCACTGAAAAGACATAAAAGTGGTACATTAAAGTGAATAGGGGAGTGCCTCGTGGCTCTGTAGGATAAGGACTGGACCTGTGAACCACAAAGTCAGCAGTTTGAGCCCAGCAGCTGCTCTACGGAAGAAAGGTGAGACTTTTTGCTTCAGTAAAGATTTAGAGCCTCAGAAACTCTACACAGGGTCACTAGGAGTTGGAACAGATTTGACAGCATCTAACAATAACAACAAAGTGAAAGACACTCATTAATAGAATACATTTAAGTTCAAATGACCATCATCTAGAGAGAATTCATAATCTTTCTCTGATTTCTTACCAGTTTTGTTCTTCAGCCTAAATTGTACTCAGAATGAATGAAATGGGCTAAGCTAAAAATTTCTCTCAACAAAATATTTAAGTTGGATTCAAAATCAAAACACCTTGGTTATATCCATTGTGATACCTGGTGTAGTGCTATAGGCTAACTACTGGACTGCGAACCACAAGGTCAGCTGTTCAAACTCACCAGCTGCTCCTCAGAAACCCTGTATAGGGTCTCTATGGGTTGGAATCAACTCGACGGCACTTACAACAGTATCCACTCTGGCTTTATTTGAAAACTTCTGTTGTAGACAGGTCTTGAACCTAATCTTCAGCTGGTTTTTGTTTGTTACCTTCAAAGAAACTGAGCATATAACATTGGGAACTCCTTGGTCCTGTGCCTTTTTAGAATTCTTGACAATGTACTGCTCACTCCATCTCATGTTAGAGACCCATCTCTTTCTGATTTAGGCAACAACCTTATTGTTGTTGTTAAGTGCTATTAAGTCAGTTCTAACTCTTAGCAACCCTTTATTGGGCTTCCAAGGAGTGGCTGGTGGGCTTGAATCACCAACCTTGTGGTTAGAAATCCAGTGCTTATCCTACAGTACCATAGCAGCAGCAGCAGTCTTACTAGATAGGTGTGTGGATGGTTCCCTGTGCCATTTAGTAATAATCAAGTAGCATCTGCTCAGCATCCACTATGCACAAGGGAGTATGGAAATCCTTTTGACCCACAGTTCAGGTAAACACCAACATACCTGCATTGAGCAGCACCTTAGCACAGTCCAGGTGCTCCCTTGCACAGGCAACATGCAGAGGAGTCCCAAAGTGGCAATCGTGCGCTTCAAGATTGGCCCCAACATCAATAAGGAGCTTTACACATTCAGAACTTCCTTAAAATAAATGGAAAAGGAACAGAAGAGTCAATAAATATACACATTTAAAGTAAGAAACATGAAAGACATGGAAGAGGTAAGCCCCATGCTTACCAACACAGGTGAACAAGGGGAAACGAGAACAACAGTCCAACCTAAGGAGCAGCTTACACTCCTCTAAGAAAAGGAGAGCTGCTTCTTTTTCTTAGAGGAGTGAGATGGTTCGCCATGCCCATCTGGTAGTGGAGAAAAGGGAGGGCAAAGCCAGCCCTCCTGTTGTGAGAACAAAGTTTAGAACAAACCCACTATGAATAGTCAAGAGAACACTCCTCACTGTTCCCAGGGATCCTCAGTGGGAAAGAAAGTGTTCACCACTTCCTATCCACAAAGTGTGTCTGGGGTAGCATTAAACCTTCTTGATGAATTTCCCTTACACTTTCTTACGGAGCTGGTTCCCCTCCAGCCTCCCTGACAGCCACTTTCTGCCTCTTTCCCAGGCTCCTCTTCTTGTATCTGCAAGGTGAACTTGGATCAAGGCCCAAGCCTTGGCTCTCTGCTCAACTCTCGTTTTTTGGCGTTCTGTGATGCCACTTTTCTCGTAACTTAATTACTTCTTCATTATAGATAGCTACCAAATTTTTGGGAGCCCTGGTATGGTGCTGTAGGATAAACACAGAACCACAAAGTCAGTTTGAACCACAAGATAGGCAGTTCAAACTCACCAGCTGTTCCTTGGAAATGCTATACTGGGCTGCTATGAGTCTAAACCAACTTGATGGCACTTAACAACAACCACCACCAAATTTCCACCTGGAGCCTTGAAACCCAGGGCAACAAACTCAGTGTGTTTTAAACTAGACATAGCTCCCGTTCCCCTTTCCTAGGGTCCCTACTCCTACCCAGCCTGTTTCAGCCAAGAGCATCGCTTTCTGCTATAACTTCAGAATCATTTTTAATGCTTTTCAGCTCTTCATCATATCAAATCCTATTGATCCTCCCACCAATGCTTTTGAAGAGAACCCATCCTATTCTACCCATTATCATGTGGCCACTCTAGTTTGGGTTCTTAAGAGCTTTGCTCTTGGACTAGTGCTGTAGGCCGTACTCATCTATCTGCTTCCAAGACAACACTCCCCAATCCTTACACCCCACAAGTGCTCATGAACACACACACATACCATTTCACTATATTGTTGTTGTTAAGTGCTGTCGAGTTGATTCTGACCCATAGTGACCCTGTATAGGGTTTCCAAGGAGCAGGTGGTGAGCTTGAACCACCGACCTTGTAGTTCTAACGACTTTGCAGTCTGATACATTAGCCCACAGTGCCGTTCTAAAATTCTGTTTTCCTCTCATTCAACATCTGCTCCAAAGACTTTCAAATAGCTGCTGGAAGCAATGCCCAGAGTGCCTGTGGGGTTTCTGAAGATGACCTCATGTGTGAAGCAGGGTGTGAGATGGTAGGAGCAGTGACCCCGTGTGGAGGCACATGAAACTACACATCCATCAAGCACAGTCAAAGACAAACACACATAGTGCCAGTCAATCAAAATATAAGCCTCTGCTCTGCCACCTTTGTTCAAAAAGGCAGAATCCAAACTCCTTAGTCTGTCACTTAAACTTTTTTCCACCAGGTGTTCCAGTCTTATTTGTTGTTGCTTCTATACTTGGAACAGCTGAGGAAGACTGAACAAGTAATGTCCCCAATGCTTGGGGCCAGCATCTTCTCATCTTCCCACCTTCTGCAATCTATCTATTCTTTGAGGTCCAGTTCCAGCCCCACCTGCTCCCGGAAGCCTCAACAACTAACTCCACCTCTTTCATGACAGCACACTGTCCAAGCTTCTCCCAGGCCCAGCCCTCTGGCACAGGTCATCCTGGATGTGTTGGGGTCTTGCCTTCTATTATAGCTTGACCGGTCTCTCAAAACTATAAGAGGCTTCAAAAAGTTTGTGGAAAAGTGGAATTAAAAGATCACAGAATTTGTCCATTAATTTTCTGAAGCTTCCTCATAAGTGCTAAATCCTCATCTCTACGCCTGTTTATGTAACCCTATTTGAAAACAAGGTTTTCTTTGTTAAATAGACCAATCTTGAGTATGGCTGGTTCTAAATCGAACCACTCTTGAATTACAAAAAAGGACAGATTAGACACAAACACATGGACACATGTGGGAAGACATATGCCAAGTGAGCCTCATTTACAAGTCAAGCAACCAAGGAATGCCCAGAACTACTTCCAAAAGAGGACTCAACACAACCAAGACCCCGATTTGGACTTTTAGCCTCTAGAACTGTGAGAAAATTTCTCTAAAGCCACATACTTAAGATATTTCTTATATAGCAGCACTAGGAAACTAAGACACTTCCCAACCAGATCAAGAGTTTACTAAGGCAGAACCACAGCAAAGACCAGTGAGAGCCAGTAGAGCTGACAGGTGTCTGTTATTAACATCTGAAATGCACTAGGGCACTAAAAAACCACTGTCCACCGTCCTAGATGAAGACAGAATCTCAAATTAGAAAATCTTATTATGATCTCTACAGCTGAGAAGTGACCCAAAGCCAAAGCTCTCCTTTCTCCAGCACTGAATTCTACTTCCTGTCTAGAATGCTTCCTTCCCAAACTCCTTTCATTCAAGAAAGAAAAGTGAAATTTCTTAGGAGAAAAAGAAAAAGGGGTCACATGTGGTGCTGGCTGTAGGAAATACAAGGGCAGCAAGCCCTGAGGTGGCACTGGAGATTGTTCTTCCTGGTAATCAGGAGCCTGGAGCACAGTGGGTGGGGCCAATAGGTCCCTTGGCCGGACTCACCACTCATGCAGGCCTCGTGCAGGGGGGATGCTGTGTACAGGGGCGGGTTGACATTGGCCCCATGGGAGAGCAACAGCTTCACACACTCGATGCTGCCCGAGGCACAGGCGTCACAGAGTGGGGTGCTGCCATCGATGTTTCGAGCATCCACCTCATGGAGAGAAAGAAACAAGTGTCAAAGGTGGGAGGTAGGAGAGAGCAGTGCAGTTCTCCTTCATCCAGATTAGTCACTGTGAAGATACTTTGTTGTGCAGAGGCACTGTGTTGGGCCAGGGAGTTCAGAAGGAAATAGGGATTGGGACAGTCCCTGGGAGCCTCCTGAGTGTAGAAGCTGCCCAGTTTGGGGTTCTTTTTCCTCATAAGCAAGATAAACTCCGCATGGTGCTTTCTACAGCCTCTATACCTAATAAGCACTGTGGCACGGTGGGCTAATAATACGTAAGGCTGCAAAATCATTGAAGCTCACCAGCTGCTCCTTGGAAACCCTATACAGGTTTTATATGGGTCGGAATCAACTCAATGGCACTTAACAACAACAAGGAAAAGACAGCACAAGGGAAGGCAGGGTATAAAAGTGGAAAAGTTTTAACTTAGGCTGTGGATACAAAGTGTCTGAGACATATCTCTTCTAATTTGAAAAACACAGGGGAGGAGAAAGGCAATTCCCCACACTGGCAAATTCTACTTAGAATAGGTCTAAATTCAGCTTCTATTTGGTACATGCTGAAACATGTTTTAGTTCTTCTTTGTCTTCATATCCAACTTTTTAAAGGGTAAGTTATCTGCAGTCTTCAGTTTTGGCTCATACCTTGAAATCTAAATTATGTTGCCATCATTTTGCTAAAATTGCCATTTTTTTCTTGCAACCAGTGTCTCCCTAAGGAGCTCTGGTAGCATAGTGATTACGAAGAAGGCTGTGAGCCGCAAGGCCAGCAGTTCGAAACTACCAGCTGTTCCGCGGGAGAAAGATGAGGGGTTCTGCTCCCATAAAGATTTACAGCCTCGGAAACCCTGTACAGGGTCGCTATGAGTCGGAACTGACTCCATGACATACAACAACAACAACAACTAGTGACTCCCTAATAGTCAAATCCATGAGCAAGTGTCAGTTTTTATCTTCTTCAAGGCTTTGCTGGGCAATGTTTACTTTTCCTCCCTCCCTTCACTTCCACAACATCCTATTCTGGTTTCCTCTCTTTGCTTTTGCAAATCACAGAACCCTTCCTTTTCCTCACTTTACAGTCTCCGTCCGGACTTGCTGCCACCGATTCCCATTGATACAGCCTCAGAGTCTGTCCCAAAAGGGCCACTCACCTGGGCCCCAGCGGCCAGCAGCAGTTGCACACACTGCGCCTGGCCATGCAGACTGGCGGCATGCAGGGGCGTGATGGAGTCCACCATCACCTGGTTGACGCAGGCGCCATCCTCTATCAGCTGCTGCAACTCCAGCGTCTCACCCAGCTGGGCAGCTTCATGCACAGCGGTCCGGTCCAACCAGAAACCTGGAAAGGAAAATAGTACTAGTGTTTGCATCCCACCATTTCTACCCAGCACAAATGAACTGGTAACCCTCCAGGGCTGCTTTGCAACATTCAAGGCAATGTACATGATCGTGTACTGGTCCAAACACTCCTGCTTAAAATCCTTAGCCATCCCTACTGCCTGTAGAGTCCAAACTCCTTGGTATGGCGTCTAGGTCTCCGTGATCAGGACCTTGCTTACCTCTGACCCCCTCCCACCACTGCCCCTTAATAACCTCACTCTCTAGTCAGACTTGTAGTTCATCACTGTCCCCTACTGTTTTACACCCTTTGTATATTCTTCTCTCTGCATGCAACACCTGCCCCATCCGATCTTCATCAACTCTACAATTTTGTTTAAATGTTTACATACTCCATGTGAACCTAGTTGAAATATCTATCTCCTTGTGGGAAATATTTCCTCCATCTCCCACAATATTCACACATACGCACTCATAGCACTGCCTTGTTGCCTTTGAGTTCCTTGATGGTAAGGAACATGCTTTAATGATTCTATTTTAGTGCATTCCTTATGATTTTCTATAGACTGCAAATATAGTTTTATTTCTTCCTTTCCAGCCTAGATGCTTTTTATTTTTCTTGTCTGTTTGTCCTAGCAGGAACTTCTAATAACAATGTGGAATAGAAGTGGCAGGAGTAGACATCATTGTCTCGTCCTTAGAAAAAAAAACAGTTAGTGGTTCACCATCAAATATGCTAGCTATGGGGTTATTGCATTAGGTCAAGATATTTCTCCTTCTGTACCTAATTAGTTGAGCGTTTTTATCATGAAGGGGGGTGTTGATTTAGTCAAAGATCCATTCTGCATCTATTGAGATCATTGTATTTTTTAAAATTCTATCAATTTGGTATAAAACTTAGAATTGATTTTCCAGTGTTAAACTAACCTTGCAGCCTTAGGATAAATCTCTCTTGGCCATTATGTATAAATCTTTTTATATGCTGGTGGATTTACTTTGTTAGTATATTTTGTTGAATAGTTTAGCATCTATATTTATGATTCTTTAGTTTTGTTTTTGTTGTTGTTTATGTGTATGTGTGTGATGTCTTTGTTTTGGATTGTTGTCGTTGTTAAGTGCCATCCAGTCAAGTTGATTCCGACCCTGTGTAGGGTTTCCAAGAAGCAGCTGGTGAGCTTGAACCACCGACCTTGCAGTTCAAATGACTATGCAGTCTGATGCATTAACCCACAGCGCCACAACAGGTATCAGGGTAATAATACTGGCCTTAAAAAGTAAGGTGAGAAGTATCCTTCCTTCTTTGATATTAAATCTTCTTAAATGTTTCACAGAATTCACCAGTGCAGTATTTTGTGTGTGTGTGTGTGTGTGTGGGAGGGTATTTAAAAATTTCTTTATTTGTTGTGCGTCTATTCAGACTTTCTATGTCTTCTTAAGCTAGCTTTGGTAGTTTGTGTCTTTAAAAACAAAAAAAAACTCTTTCATTTAAGTTATCAAGTTTAATAGCATATGTCTTAGCCATCTAGTGCAGTGATAACAGACCTACCACATTTACTCGCCTACATTTTAGGTGCCAACTCCAAGGGAAGGTCTCCTTTTAGTATCTGTCGGTCCAGCATTCCTTGGAGGCCTCCTTGTTTCTTGGCATCAATCTTCCCCTGGACCTAGGAGCTTCACATTTCAGGGACCCAGGTCCAAAGGACACACTCCACTCCTGCTTCTTGGTGGTAATCGATCTTTTGAACTCTGCTTGCCTGTTTAATTTGTTTTACATCTCAAAAGAGATTGACTTCTGACACAAGATTGCATACAGCCTCATTAACCTCATAGGATAATTACATCAGATCAGGGCTAATCACATCAGATCTTATCACGATGTGACTGATTATATATTACATTGTTGTTGTTAGGTGCCATCGAGTCTGTACCGACTCACAACGAACCTATGTACAACAGAATGAAACACTGCCCTATCCTGGATCAAACTCACAATTGTTGCCATGCTTGAGCCCACTGATCCTGCCACTTTGCCAATCTACCTCTCTGGGGTCTTCCTCTTTTTCTCTGACCCTCCACCTTACCAAATATGATCTCCTTCTCCAGCGACTGGTCCCTCCTGACAATATGTCCGAAGTACGAGAGACGAAGTTTGGCCATCCTGGTCTCCAAGGAGCACTCTTGCTGTACTTCTTCCAACACAGATCTGTTGGTTCTTTTGGCAGACCATGGCACTTTCAATATTCTCCTCCAACAACATAACTCAAATGCATCAATTCTTCTACGGTCTTCCTTATTCACTGTCTAGCTTTCACATGCATATGAGGTTACTGAAAATACCATGGCTATGGCTTGGGTGAGGCACACCTTAGTCCTCAAGCTGACATCTTTGCTCTTCAACACTTTTAAAAGGTCTTGTGGAGCAGATTTGCCTAATGCAATAAGTTGTTTGATTTCTTGACTGCTGCTTCCGTGAGTGTTGATAGTTGATCCAAGAAGAATGAAGTCCTTGACTTCAATCTACTCTCCTTTGATAACACTACATTGTATCTCATCAATGAGGAGTACCACATCTTAACTGCCGAGCCACTAAGAATCCAGGCTCAGCCAGGTTGACACAAACCTTAACTTTCACTGCATATATATTGTTCATAATATTCCCTTATGTTGTTGTTATTAAGTGCTGTCGAGTCGGTTTGGACTCATAAGGTTCCGAAATAGCAGCTGATGGGTTTGACTGCCAAGCTTGTGCTTATCCTACAGCACCACACCAGGTGTCCAATATTCCCTTATATTCATTCTATAAGATCAGGGATAATGTTTTCTTTCATTCCTGGCTTTAGTAATTTGTGTCTTCTCTCTTTCTCTCACTCCTTTTTTGGGGGTCCATCTATTTTACCTTTCCAAAGAAGCAATTTTTAGTTTCATTCATTTTCTCTATTGTTTCATTCATTTCCACTCGATATTATTTATTTCTCTCTGCTTGGTTTAAGTTTAGTTTGCTCTTATTCGTCTAGTTTCTTAGGAAGGAAAGTTAGATGATTGATCTTATTACTTCTCTGATTAATACCGGTATTTTGATATGAATCTGGGAAAATTAGAAGTTGTCAAAAATGAAGTGGAATGCATAAACATCAATATCTTAGGCATTAGTGAGCTAAAATGGACTTGTATTTGCCATTTTGAATCTGACAACCACATGGTTCACCATGCCGGGACTGACAAATTGAAGAGGAATGGTGTTGCATTCATTGTCAAAAAGAACACATACAGATCAGTCATAAGGTACAGCGTTGTCTGTGATATGATAATATCCATGC